GTCTCTATTTACATGCCTGTCTGTTGAATACTGCATCTCTATTATAACTAGGAAACTAGATTAAAATAACATGCCACCAGAATATGCAGTACCACTAAGACATTGCTTTACATCTGGCTATCTATTGTGGAAGGAAGAGTTTTATAAGCAAGTAGATGGTGTTCCGATAGTTTCACCTGTATCTCCCATTGTCGCCGATATATTCATGGAAGACTTTAAGGAGAAAGCCCTCTTTACGGCACCTGTTACCCCAAGGTTCTACGAGTGGTACGTAGACGATACTTTCACTATTTTACCACCAGACAAAGTAACTGCATTTTTAGGACATCTTAATTCCAAAAACCCTAAAATTCAATTTACTATGGAGTTAGAGGCAAATAATTCCTTAGCTTTCCTAGATGTGTCAGTCATCCGAAATCCTAACGTATAGAAAAAAGACCCATACAAACCGATACTTAAATGGTGAACTCACCATCATACTTCGCAGTTAGCTACCGTGGGCAAATCTTTGTTACAGAGAGCACGAGGGATCTGTGACAGCAAACACCTGGCCACCGGGCTTCAGCACGTCAAGCAGGTTCTGCACGACAACAAGCTTCGGGTCCCGCGCCTCCGTCACAGTGACCGAGTGAAGCCGGCCACAGTCGAGCGTGTGCCTGCTGTACTACCATATGTCAGAGGTGTCACAGACAAGATTGGCTACATCTTGAAGCAAGCTTCTATTAGAGATATTCTTTATATATTTTAGATATTCTTTAGAATGTTCTAATAGAAGCTTCTATTAGAACATTCTAATGTTCTAATAGAAGCTAATAGAAGCTTAGGTTTTGCACACGAATGTATCATCGAATTGACGTCTAGATTCAATTTCTCGGAGTATTTCTTAATTAGATCGCTAGTTTTTTTAAGCGTATTAGTTGTAGGGTCTGTTTTGACCTTACGCTATGTACTTTTATCAGCCAAAGTTGTTGTATTTTAAAATTGTAATCCGACGTATCCATTACGACCGTAGCATTTCCTTTATCTGCGCGGAGAATCTTAAGTTCTGGTCTGTGGCGTAAGGTTTTTAATGCGTTAAATTCATTTTTAGGAAGATTTAATTTCGGCGCTGTACTTCGACGTAACATAGACGAAATGTCTTGGCGTATGGCCTCTAAAACTAACATTACCAATATTATTTTTATACAGACAATCCTCAACACTACAGATAATGTCTTCATACGGGATTCTTCGCGGTGTAATTGCATAATTAAAACATCTTCCTAAAACTTTTATTGTGGCGTCGTCCAGAGTTTGTTTTGACAGGTTATAGACCACGCGTTGTTTGTTAATCGTGTCTGTGGTCAACGATATCGTTTCGTTTTTACGTTGCCATTGATGTTGGACATTTGATTTAGTTGTTAATTTTTGGTATTTATCAATATGTTTATTTTTGAATTCATTGTATTTAGTTGTTTCGCGTTTATCTAAAGTTTCCATGCAATTCTTGTAATCAAATGTCGATAAAACTGTCTTTAATTCACTGGACGAATTGTCTATGGTTTTGTTTATGAAACATAGATCGGTACGTTTTTGCTGAATCACCGTTATTTACAACCTTTTATTCGCCTGATTTAAGATCTTCGCGCTTCTTCGAATGTCTTTTTTAGTATATATCTTGACACACGTATGAATGAGATTATGATCTCTGCATCTCTTCAAGAAATTTAAACCTGTTATGTATCTTGCCCGCTTGGTCTTTAGATCTTCTAATCGGCGTATTTTATTTGCTTTTTCCAGTCCGTACTGGTTTTCATAATGATTTCTTATATTTACGCGAACACTATACATTGATTAAAACTACTTTTACGGATTTTATCGCGTTTTATTTATTTTTGATACCCGAAGTTTCGTATAATTAATAAAAATAAAACTAAACCCAAGCATACCACTGTAAGACTTCAAAACACAGTTAGTTTATTCTGCGTAGATCGGACCATAGACAATAATTAAAAAGCTGAAGGTACTCCAATACGGTTTTAGTCGTGATCGATCAGCTGGTGATTTTCTGATCTACCTGACTCATGGACGGACGGAGGCAGTAGAGTCCAAGAAGAAGCATTGGCCGTTAGTTTAGACTTGGGAGGGCCTTCGATCAGTTTTGGCACAAAGCGCTTCTTTCGAAGCTCCCTTCCTATGGGCTTTCCGAGAAATTATGCAATTGGATCAGCAGCTTTCTTGCAGATCGAAGCATCAAGGTCGTTGTAGACGGTGCAAGCTCCGATTACAAGCCTATTAATGCTAGTGTTCCACAAGGCTGCGTGCTATCGCCAACGTTTTATGCATATGGTATGCTGCAAACCCGTAACATTCATTGCTATGCAGACGACAGCACTGGTGATGCTCTGTACACCGCCCGTGCCAATATTTTTTGGGAAAACGTCTCTGAGTGCCGGGACATTCTTGTGTCTGAAGTCGAGTCTTTGCTGAACAAAGTCTCATCACCACCAATGAAATTTTTAATTGCAGTTTTAATTGCTGATTTACAACGTTCTTGGCGGTGAAGGAAACTTCGTGAGGGAACCTGCATGTCTGAGAAATAAGAAAAACAAAATATTTCGAAGACATGTGACATGTTCAGTGACGGGGACAATTACTTGCCCTAAAACTTTCTCAGAAATGATAGGAGGCCTGTGCCCAGTAGTGGGACGTATATAGGCTTTAAATTTTAAAGGAACATTGGAAAGAACAGAAAAAAGTCTTTCTGGCCAATTAGTAATATTATATATCAATGAAATGAAACTAATTTTACGGATTTAATCACGTTTCATTTTAACTTTTTACCTTCGACGTTTCAGCGCTTTTCAACACTTATGGTGATAAGGGGGGTGGAAGGAGTGCGGCTGAAAAGCTTGACGTCTTGATTTTATAGATATATAGTTAACGAAGGCAACCTTCAACTTTTATATTGTCCTTCGTCCGATCTACTCAAAACGAGCGTCCAGTATCTTAAAGTCTTGCAGTATGTATACTTGGGCTTGGATTTACTTTAATTAATTATGGCATCTTGAGTTGGTCGTTGCACCTATTGAAGTTCCCCAGCAACTTTCCTAAATAAAGAAGCTCCAAACAGAGAGTTTTGACCTCTTTCCGCTGAACACTTTTTCTCTGAGACAGATCTCCCCTTCTTCACCATGGTCTAAGCCTTATTAGAGATTACTGAGTGTCTAATAGCTGTTATCAAACACGATTTTAGTCTCTGGTTTTACGCACTGTCAGTACACAATTTACAACATAAATGAGCGAAAAAATAAAATCACCAATACGCCGGAGGTAATTGTTTAGTTGATGATGATTTAAAGCGTGACTGGTAATCATGACGCACCTAGTTCAAATCCTGGGTTGGGCAGAAATCAGTAATTAGGTTTTCTGTTAATAAATTTGCTGTAACCGCTCGGAATCATTAAGTTAGAGGTATTTTATCGCCGTGCCTCTGAAAGCATGTGAGGCCGTAGGTACTGCGCCTAATTTCTCTACGGTCATGTCGAATTACCGTTCCATAAGACTATCAGAGTGAGGAAATAGAGAGTGTACCTGTACTTTGCGCACATAATTGCACTGTATAATTCTGACCACAGATGGGTTGTTTGTGTTGAGTCTGGACGCCGTGACCGAAGTTTGGTTTTTTGAACATTTTTTTTTATCTCTATTTCGGCCTCATAAACCGTTGTGTTTAATTAATGAAGCAATAAAACTTCCTTGAACAGGGAAATATTGAATTTTATAACCGTATTAAGCATCACGAACCGGGAACTGTAAGCTCCAAGTCAAAATTGTATACTTTGTTCACTTAATATTTACAATTTATTTCATTAGATTAGATTTGAGAAATATATTAAATAAAATTGAAGGAGCCAACGAACTTAAAGTTCATTTGACAGTAAATAGCTACTGCAGCCCTAAGTTTAACTAACTACTAGCAAAAATACAGTTTTACTCCTGAGGACTAAGATGATGCCTTGCAGCTTGTATTTATAATGGTCTCTCTAACTTGGTACACAGTGCAGGAACTACGACTTGGTGGCAAAAACAGGGGTAAAACGGTACCCAGGTCGATTTCAAGGCTGAAAAGGAGTTCTACAGAAAAAAAATTCTCGACTGGCAGCCTTGTAAATAGCAGATAGTGTATCCAGCCTGAAGTAACAACCTAGTAAAATATGCAAGAAGTCGTTGAATCCAAGTGGCTTGGGAACGTGTTTTGTGGCATTCTTGAGAAACCCAGTGCTGCCGCGACATCCCTAACGTACCATCCCAAGGGCTGAAGAATGCCGATATAGCATTCTAAAATTCACCGCAGCGATGATTTTCATACCGTGTAGTGGCGATGCAAGCTTATTCATTACCCCTTATTGTTCCGTGAGTGTCTTGAAATGCAATGGAAGGAAACAATCCAGAAAATCTTCTTAAAAACAACTAAAAAAAAAATAACTGATTTTACTCACCCGTCTGCCGAGCGCAGCAACTATGATAAATTTCTTTCTCATAATACAATCTATGGGGAGGTCGTAATGAATGAATAAATTATTTTTTATTTATTCTTTATTAAAACCAAACAGAGAATAAATATTGAAGACAAACCTTCTTTGTAAGCTGTTTATGTTTTTGTTGTAAGCTGTAACTGTGTATGTGTTTTGACACACGATACGGATCGCTCTCAGTGATTTATTTTCTTATCTGGATAACTGTGTTCTTAGAGATATGAAAATATCTTTAAAATGGACTTTATGTTGTGATACATTTGTTTAATATGCAGGAAAGTACCATAATTGTGCAATTTGGACGTATTTATGGATTATTTGTTAGACGATTATGCAGTGCAGTGACTTTGCGTGATAAATAATAAGTGGGTAGCGCAAAGTGCCGAGCTGATCAAGCTCTTGAGCTATCAAGCTCTTTCACTCGCGCGCGATCTGACTATATATATTCCTGTTACACAGAATTTTCATTGCGATTAGAACAATATGAACTGTTTTGTTTGTAATAAAAAAGTTGATATCAATGAATTGATAAAATGCAAGGGTTGCAAAGCGGCTTTCCATCATAAATGCGTAAATATTACTTCTACTGCATTTAGGGACGGGCAACAGCAACTGAAACGTACTTTTATGTTCAGTTCTTATTCCAGTATAACTCAGCGCATACGAGTAACCGTTGATACCCCAGTTCGTGGCTCTGATGTACACCTGAGGGACAAAGATTTATCCAACTTATCCCTCGAAGAAAGCACTCCCTTAGACAAAAAAGGATCTTTGACATCTGAAGGGATGATCAACTTTGCAGATTTATTGGATAAAGTAAATAATATGATTGTTGAAAAGTTGAGTAGTTTTGAGACCAAAATATTAAGCGAAATTAAAGCTTCTGTTACAGTGTTAGCACAGGAAAATAGTAAAATAAGGCAAGATCTAAGTGAAGCTAATAAAAAATGTAGTTTATTAGATCAAGAGATTTTAATTTTGAAAAATGGAAAAAATACGGAGCCTAATGTCGAAGAAAATCGACATAGTCGACGAAAGGCAACGGTGTCAAAATTGGGATCTGATACTACTCCAAGCTTGTCGCTGGCACCGGTAGCGGTGGAGCAGCCGGCGCTGCCCGCGCTCGATCGTTCTGCACCCTCTAGCTCCGAGTTGACAGCGACGTCGGCGACGGCGAGCTCAGCGGTTAGTTACGTGGCAGTGGCCAGTAAGGCAGCGAAACCGAGAGCCAGCGATACCAATACCAATACATACACTGAAATTAAAGGGAGAAAGAAGGTCTGACCAGTAATAAGGGGCGGAAACTCGTCTATTGTGTCCTTGAAGACAGTTGAACGTAAGAAATTTTTACATGTCTGGAGATTGGATATGGGCACGACCGAGGATAATCTTAAGGATTACATTAAAAACATCCTAGGAAACGATACTGAAATTATTATTGAAAAATTAAAGAATAGAACTGAGTGAAATTACTCATCCTTTAGGATCGGCGTTACAGAGAGCAATTTTAATAAACTATGTGTTCTGGAGGTATAGCCTGTGAGTGTAGAATTTAGCGAGTGGGTTTGTTTTCGTCACCCAACAAGATCAAAACAGGTTCAGTAATACTAGTAAGTTCAGTATCCTACGTCAAAACGTCAGAGGGCTAAGAACGAAGACCACTCAATTCTTATCATTTCTGGAATCATCTGATGCTGACTTATTCGCGATAACTGAAACTGGGCTCAATGAAGCCATACATAGCACGGAATTTGTGGTTCCCGGATACCATGTACTTAGATGCGACCGAACAGACGGCCGTAAACAGGAGGGTGTATGTCTAGTGGCCACACCGCGCTTCGAGTTACGAAAATTATCGCTACCGGATAATGTAAGCATAGATGTTCATAAATTTGAATTGATTTGCGCTACTGTTTATGTACAAAACAGGTTTTTATTTGCATGTTTTATACTATACATTCCACCTAAGATTGAAGAAAATGAATATCTCCTAATGTTAAATATATTGGGGAAATTACTTATTAAGTTTAAAGGGAATAAGTTATTATTGGGAGATTTTAATTTATGTTCTTGTAATAGTAATATATGTAATTATTTTGAATACTTTACGTCATTTTGTGAGCTCACTCAGTAAAACTCGGTACCGAACTGTAAGGGCAGAAAGGACCTGGTGTTGAGCGCGCGCAGCTATGTGCGCGTGACGGGGGCTGACGAGGCGCTGCGACCATCTGCCGCTCGCCGTGATAATCGGTGGCGCGACGCCCCACTGCCGTCGACGTCCTCCGCGCTTGCGCCCGCGTCCCCCATACCCGGCTCGTCACACGTAACAATGCACTCTCAAGCCTCAGTAAACAATAAGCAGTGGAATTCTAATAAAGCCGATTTAACCAATTGTATCACCTGTTAGCTATTATAGACTGGAGTGAAAAGTACACCTTAGATAACTTGGACGAAACATTATGTTAATTTTACAATAAAATTTACGAGTGTTTTGATAAATGTGTCCCTCTAAAAAAGAGTAGTTTGATGACGAGCAGATACATATACCCGGTTCGGTATACTGCTGACAACATTAGGTTTATAAAACTAAAGCACAAATTTCACAAACGATTCAAATCGAGCAAACTGCGCAGTGATTACGAAGAGTTGTCGCGATATAGAGCTATAGTTAAAACTGAAACTGATAGAGCGCATAACTAGTATAGAGACCGTGTGCAGGGATATTTAACATTGGAGCCTAAAGCATTTTGGGAGTATATAAGATTGAGGAAAGGTACATCAGGAAGTAGAAAATTATTTAAGGACGGCAAAGTTTTGTGAGATAGCGAGTGCGCTGGAGATTTCGCAAATTTTTTCCAGGCCGTATACAGCCGTGAGACACCTTTGTTAAGCGTAACGGCGGCTGGTGCTGCGCCGGTGGGAGCGGCGTCGGCCGCGTGTGCTCAGCTCGGGCATTTGCGATCAGCTGATGTTCTGCTTCACACCTCCCCTCGAAACGCTTGGTCAGACCAGATGGTATACCAGCCGTTATATTTAGAGACTGTAGGACTGTACTAGTGAAACCATTGTTACACATTTTTAATGTATGTATTGAAAGTGCTACGTTTCCTGATTAATGGAAGCTCACTAGAGTTGTGCCTGTACTGAAAGGTAATGAGGGATCGATTCCAAGTGACAACAAACCCGTGGCAGTCTTAAACACTCCAGCGAAAGTGTTCAAGACGGCCATTCACAACTGCCTGTACCCACAGATTAGTGCACAGTTGTCCGACGCGCAGCACGGCTTCCGCCTTGGGCGGGGGACAACTGGGAACTTACTGGAGCTGATGACGCATCTAGTACCCGCGGTTGATGCTGGCCTGCAGGTGGACGTAGCCTAATTTGATTTCAGAAAGGCTTTCGATGCGGTTGACAACGATGTGTTACTTTGGAAGTTGGCTTGTGTGGGTTGCACACCTCGCACGCTATCATTTTTCGTCAGTTATCTGCGAGACCGGCATCAGTTTGTCGATTACAATGGGCACTTTTCTCGACCGTACCCTACTAGATCTGGTGTTAGTCAGGGCAGCAATCTAGGACCATTGCTGTTCAGTTTAATGATAAATGATTTACCAAATTTATTCAAGTTTAGTACTCCATTACTGTTTGTCGATGATCTAAATTTACATAAACATAAACATAAACACTCACGCCTGTCACCCAGAGGGTAGACAGAGACTACGGACTGCCATTTGGCACGATCCTGACATACCTCTTTCGCCTCCTTTACATCCATATATCTACGCATACATGTTCGTCGGTTAAGGGTACTTCTAACGTGGCCCATTTTCAAAATATCGCCAATTTGGTCGATAAACTTTTTCCTAGGGCGTCCCTTCCCGACTCGGCCGTTCACATCTGCCATATAAATTTGCTTTGTCACTCTTTTCTCATTCATTATTTCTACATGACCAAATCACCGAAGCATTCCTTGCTTAATCCTGGTCACAACATCATCCTGCATACCACATATATCTCTTATCACGCAATTTCTCACCCTGTCATTCAGATTCAACCCTAGCATATTTCTTAAAGACTATTATGAATTACCATACGAAATGGATCTAAATTTAGTTTTAGAAATAAATCTGATGGTGTTTTATTACAGCATGATATTGATAAAGTTTTAAGATGGAGCATTGATAATAATAAACTTTTCTTTAATGTCTCTAAATGCTCAGTACTGTCCTTTAGCCGCTCACGCGCTCCAATTCATCACCAATACGTGATGGATGGGAAACTACTTCATAGAGTTAAGGAGGTTAAAAATCTACGGTGTACGTTTCACTGCAGGCTTACATTTCGGATTACATGTAAGTAATGTTTGTATAAAGGCATACCGTAACCTCGGATTGATAATGCGTCTTGCAAGTAATTTCACAAACGTCAGGGCTCTCAGAGCGCTATATAATGCACTCATAAGGAGCCACTTAGAGCGTAACGCCATCATTTGGGCTCCTCATGAAATCAAATCCAAATTTATGTTAGAGCGAATTCAAAATAAATTTATTATATTCATGTACTTGAAACTATTCGGAATATACCCGGGCTATCCCTTGTTGTATCCTACTCTATTTTTGCTCGGTATTGTAGGATATTACCAGCTCGAAGTCAGAAGAGAAGTAGCTCTCGCTATGTACGTGTTGAAGGTGATGAGGGGTAGAATACACAACAACACACGGCACTGATGTAGCAGGCGCCGCTCGCGCGCGCTTGTGATCAACGCCACGTCGGAGCGAACTGATTTGTTTTCATGTTCGCTGAGTGAGCTCAGTAGAGTGGCATATGGTATTGTATCGTTGGCTACACTTTCGAATTAGGGTGCTCATCCTGTAATGACTGTGTATGTTGTATGTGTATAAAATAAATAAAAAAATTTCTTCGTAATTATATTTAAGATAATTAATTGTATGTTCACAAGAATAAAAGTAGTTGGAATAAAAAAATAATAGCGTTACACTCTGTTAGCACTAGAAACAAACACATACCTGTTTTGTGACTCTATTACAACATAGTTCCAGAAAATATACAAGTTCCCTCTAATCCTAAATTAAAATATCTTATTAAAACAAAAATGTACAAAAGAATTATAAGGTTAAAACATGGTTGACAATAACCCGTTCTTATTGATTAATTTACTTTGAATAACAAAGTCCCCGTTGATTTCCTGCTGATTTTTTCCAACTTTTTTCCGAACTAGTGCAGTGCTAAAAAATACTTTCAATAAGAACTAGATGTAATCTTAATTTAATAAAAAATATTCTATTCTTTTCTTAGTTTAAGTGGTGATTAATTTTGTAGCATTTAATATTTGCAGCAAAACTTTAACCCCTTGAATATCTATTTCCTCATGCATAATAAAAATTTACGATAATCTTTCGTAACTTAAATCCTAAGGCAGAATTAAAGAGAAAGCTAAAACAAATCTTTAATCTACGTGACAAATGCGATCCGCTCTACTACTCTCAATGGAAGTTTTGGTCTCGTCCCTTTAAATATATACCGGAGTTCAAATTAGTTATAATATGTACTATTCTTATCACATTTCTTTATTATTAAATTTTCTTGCTTAGTCACATGAAAACACGAATTAAAATTACGAAGTAGATTAGAGTACAGAGAGATTAAACCCATATCGTCTATTATAAACTAAGCAATTAGTTAGATAACATTTGGCATGATAGTCAACATGAGTTTCGAAAGAATTGCTAAACGAATACTAACTTAATAGCAAACGTGGATTACGTCTGTGCAGAAATCGTTTCTGGGAGACAGGTAGAAGCCGCCTATTTTTATTTTAGAAAGGCTTTTGTCCTAGCGATTAACGACATACAGTTACAGAAGCTAGGTTACTTGGGTTTCACTACGAAGCTTTTTCAATTATTTACTAGCTATTTAGATAATTGTCGTCAATTCGTTAGAGTAAATGGTTTCGCATCTGCCGATTATTTCACTAGATACGGTGTGAGTCAGGCTTAAAAATGACCCTACGCTGTTTTTAATTTTTAAAAATGACTGGCCTACCAAAGTAAAATCTGCGTAGTATCCATTACTTGCAGATGATCTAAAATTAAGCTAGGGGGTTGGCAGCGCTGCTGTTGCACATATTCTTCAACAGGGCGTAGATTCGGTTTCGGAATCGAGTAAAATGAACCATCTTACTCTCAATTATACTAAATTCAAGGTTATCGCTTTTGAATTACAACAGAATCCTTTTTTTATTAATTATAACTTGTACGACGTAC